GATCTCTGCTACTGTTATTTTGTGGGTCAAAAGCTGAAAAGTTTTGGAACCAGCGCACTTGGGTTCCCAAAGTTGGGCTTGGAACCCAATTATGGGTCATGAAGCACCTTGGATAATCTCCAGAAATCAATTTAAAGGGTCATAAAATAATTGCTGATGTAATATTTTCCTTATAACTATTGCAAAAACACAAAATAAGTATTTATATTTGTGTACAAGCTGTTTAGATTGTCAAAAAGCCTGTGTTTTTAGGGTTATTAACAGTTTGTGTACTCAGAACTGTAATATTTGGGGTCACAAGTTTTTTCCATGGATATTTTGTAGGTCAGAAGATAAAAAGTTTGGGAACCACTGATCTAAAGGTATGTTGTTTTTATGATGACACACTTAATAAGCAAAGGGATAAGCTTGATGGAATCTAAAATAATCTGTTTCTCTAATCTGATTTGTATGTAAGTAAATATGTAACTTTCATGTAAAGTTTCATTTAAAACAATAAAATTGTATTTTTGAGTATTTGTTTGGGTGTTTCACCTGCACACACAGAGGTGTATAAACATAAACAAATGTTTTTATTGGTAAATGCTTTGACTGAAGTTTGTTGGTTTAATTACTCAACAGGCACATGTTTCTCTGCTCATGTTTATCAGGAGATATAATCTAAAACTAAACACTTTCAACAGGCAACTAAATAACAACAAATGTAATCTCACGGTGCAGGCTGAACCCTGATAATAATCTTGTTTAATCTCATCCTCACACATTAATGGAAGCTGTTTCAGTCCAATAATAAAGCAGAAGAGGATAATTTGCACTCACAGTATTGATCTGCAGACTGGACCGCGAGGAGAAACCAGCCGGGCCCGTCCCCGGACCTGGACGCACGGACTTTCCGAGGGTCACCAGCGGTTCGGAAGATCCGAAAGGCTCCAGCTGCTTGGGAGTTCCTCCCAACCAGGAAGTGAAGGGGGAAAAATGGAGACAGAGTATGGAAGGCCCTCAGTGCCAACGACACGTGATTTGTCATGTACAGCACATGTTGTTTACGCGTTTATTTTTCACAGTATTTAAAGCACAAATAATACTTTTTTCCTAGCCACTTCAGTAGAAAACAGAACTGAATATTAGTTTCTTCATGATCAGTGACNAGATTAACCTTCAGGGTGGATATAGCTCGCTAGCAGCCTCGCACCGAGGACCTATCCACGTCATCATTTACCCAGAATGCTTTGTGTGCAAATAAAATGGCTACATCCGTGTTAAAATATATTTTTAAAAATTTACAAAACTAAACATCCTACAGTATTTTTACAGTCTTTATTTTACAGTTAAAATATGTGTTTATTAAATAAAGTCTAATGTTACAACTAATCGTGGATCTGTTATAAAATGAAGGTTTTAACTGACAGAAGCTCAACAGATTCTTTGAACTCAGTCAGGTTGAACAGATTAAAATAAGACTGTGTTTTATGAATGATAAAAATAAACTCGTACAGTAAAGACTTTAAGCCTGTCCTGTGCTTCAGTCTTTATTTACCTGAGACATCCTCCTCCAGTGAGCCAGCTCTGCCTCCAGACGCAGGACTTCTGAGGACAGCCTGTTGATTTCTTGTTGTGACCAAAGAACATCACTGATGTCGATGTCATCACTGTGAAGGTGAGAGCCTGAGGCGTGGCTCAGGAAGGCAGAGGACACAGACGAGGTGGAGGTCAGGGAAGACGTGCTGACAGGCAGAACTGCAGGAGAAGAAGAGGCAGACTGGGCCGACTGCTGGAACTTCTGCACCTCTTCTTGGAGTCCACTCTGCCGAGCTTTGAGATGACTGATCTCCACCTGTTGGACCCAAACAAAGCCAGCAGTGATGTCAGCTTCATGTCTACCAGCTGCTGGACTGGTCCATGCTGCTGTGGGACCTAAATGTGAAGTACATACATCTTTCTGCTGTAGCAGACTTCTGTACTCTGCAGACTGTTGTTTATTCTGGATCTCTGCTGCCTCCAACTTCTCCTCCAGTTCTGCATAAAGCCTCTTCAGTCTGTCGCACTGAGGAGACAGGAGTCATACTCAGGAAAAACCTCATGTATACAGGCCTACTGATACATATCACAGGTCAAAATTAATTCAAAGTAATGTTGGAATAATCTGTCATTTTATTTTCTATTAAAGGGATAGTCTGGACTTTTTTAATGTACCGTATTTTTCGGACTATAAGACGCGACTTTTTTCCTGAACTTTGAACCATGCAGCTTATAGTCCGGTGTGGCTTATACATGGATTTTTTTCTTCAGCCACCAGGGGGCTCTTATGCTCCATTTGCTTCAACCACTCGCTTCAAAAAAAGAAAGAAAAAAAGAAAAAAGAAAAAAGTGATCGCTTCCAGAGCCGACTGTTGT